ATTTGAGATGAGCTCTGTTGGTACCCCAGATTATTTTGGGGAAAAAAACAATTTTTTTCCATGGTTCTTACTGCCCAGATTTTTTTTGAGTTTATGGAATATGGTCTCCTTTCAATAGCTTTTTGCTATTAATATCAGAACATAAGTAATTTTCCTATATGATGAAATTACATAAGATTTGATGCCTGAATAAACATTTAACCGAGCTGGACACTTAGCACTTCAGCACTGAGGTAGCAAGTCTCTCACAGGTATGTCCTGTTCTGAGGTGCTATGAGCTGTGAGTAGAAGACTCTTGAGTAGAATACAAACAAAAATATTGCTGTTTTCCCAGATGCTACTACTAAATGTACACTCTGTGGAAATGTTGTTTCTCTGTACTTTTCATTCAAATCAGTGGACTATGGGCAAACAAGCAGGCAAGTCACAGATGAACTCAGTGGCACAGTTATTCTGATATTTGTGGTTTTTCTCTATCAAACCCTCAAGATCATTTGAATGTTATGAGGAATGTCTGTTTTTCTAAATATATTGTAGCTGAGCCATCCTTAGAAATAAAAATTAAAGAACAAATTTTACACCATTGGCGTCTATCCTAATGTCCTGGCTACTGTTACTTTGGTCAGCGGGTGGCCTGGTCAGCCTTTCCAAAGTCAATTTTCATTTTAAGATATTTTTATTTCTTTGAAATAGGCAAAGCCTTTGGAAAATGAGGGAGCAGCCTGCTTGTGCTTGTGTCGATGAAGGCTTATATGTGCGACAAAGTAGCTGTAGAGTTTTTATATTCTGTTTGCAGTAGTAGTAAACAGAGCATCTAAAATAACCACTTGCACATTGCAACAAACACATCATCATTTGCTTAAAAAGAGTTATAATTACAGTTGACGAAGCATGGACACTATAAAAAATGCATTAGTTTGGCTTGACACATTAATTACCTGTTTTTGCAGATGTTTTTATATATTGTTGTGTGAACAGTTTACAAAATAATTACAGGAAAGTCATATGGAAAATAAACTAAGTGGGTGGTTTCTCGCCTTAATATTTTCATTCATGTGAATCTGTGTGAGGCACAGCTGCTCCGTGGCAAATGCAGAGGGAGAGAGACGGGGAATCTTGAGAGGTTTTTATTCTAAGGTCTCTATGATCATCCTTGCTACACTTTTATATCTTGCTTTAGCAGTGTAGTTTTTAAACATGTAAAATGACATTGCTGATTTAATCCCAGTGATCAGGAGGGGGGAGAAGCTTTGATCCTGATCAGATGAAACAGAAATCTTTTAGTATCTAGGAAAATAAATGAAAAATCAATATTATTTTAAGCAGGATGATCTTTTATGAGCAGTTGTAAAGATTCATCAAAGGCTTTGACACAGTTTAAACATTTCCTGTTTGCTGCCATTTAAAGAAAAATGCCTTTCAAGTTTAAATTGTAATTAAAAGCAGGTACCTCTTTAGATTATTGTGGGCTAACCACGGAATAGAAATAGGAGCTCAATATGCTCATGCAACATTTAAATCAGAAGTTCTTAGCTAGGAATAAATTTTGTTTGGCTAATATGGACAAGGAATAAATTAGTAGATTCTTTTGATAATATACATTTTGTGTAATTAAAAACACTTTCCTGTAACAAAATGTAATATTGCATTTTAAAAAAATTGCATAAAGTCTGCATCACTGCTTTAACATCTGTCAAATATAAGGATTTGTTCTGGTACTGTGTCTTAGTGATTTATATGGTTTAAAGTGAAGAGTTCTATGACCTGAAATTTGGCATAAATGCTGAAGATTATTTTAGTTTAATGGGGTCTTTATTATTTCTCATCACCCTATGTTGAAGGCTTTTTAAGTAACATTTTTATATTTATTATTTTTTAAAAAAATCACATCCTGTATTTCTTTACAGACTTTTGTAAGACATTGGCTGTTAACATGGGAGTTTGTATTGAAATGTAGCTTTTTATGTTTTCTTGGTTAAACTAATGTAAAGAATACAAATGAAGAATAAAAAGCCAAGATCCTACTTCCATAAATCCAGTTCTCAAACATCTACCTGTTAAAGTATTCGGAGACTGAACTGTTAATGATCTTAGTCACGATTAAGACGTAAGAACTTGTTGAGTAAATGTTTTGTGAATCCACACCCTCTTTTATGGCTGAAGATTTTAATGAGTGAACAGTTTGCAGGTGTTATTTAACAAATTACTAAGGAAGGAAAAGTAGAAGGAAAGCTGAAATTAATGTCTTGTGAAAGTAGGGAGAACAAAACAGCTCTAAGGGCACATCCTTGCTTGTTTGTGTTAATTACTCTAAAATTACTGAAGCATTGAAAAAAGGCAATAAACATTCAAGCTAAATACACATAACTAACAATTAAGCAGTAAGCTTGACTTTTATGATAGCCTTAGACACCAACCTAGCAGTTCTCTAGCGGTCTGCTTGAAGAAAACACTGGCTGAAGGGTTTATTGGTACTGTGCAGATGACTTTGTTTTCCCTGACCGACTGCCACCTCTTGTGTCTAAGAGAATGTGGGTGATCACCAGTGGATCGGCACAAGAAAGTTTTATGGTGCCGTAAGATTAAGTGTAGAGATGAAAGCAAGAGTGTTAGTCATGTTTTAAGAAATTACGACACAAGCTTATATAACACTGTTTATCTGTTCTCTTCTGATAAAGCCAAATCCAAACCTGTTGGGTTTTTTTTTAAAATCCCAGATGGGAATAAGCATGGCAGTCTCAGCTAGGGGAGTTTTACCAGGAGAGTCCTGCCGAGTGGAGGCTGATACTAGATACGCTGGACCTGCTACGAAGTCCCCTCTGTCTTTGGAATGAGAGAAACTGTTAAGGAATTGGTATATATCCATAATATTGTATGCTGAAAGTGCAATGAATTGGACTGTCCAGCTTCTTCCTAAACCAAGAGTAGTCAGAGTTTTTTTGCAGGGCAGGGCTCTGTGTCTTTATCCAAGGAGGTGACAATCACTTTTCCCTATTGCTGTGCAGTGAATAGTAAGATTTACAAATGGTCACTTACAGCAGAGCTTGGAGTAGGTCATAAGACTCTACTTAGAAGAAGGAGAGAGAGCTTACCCCTTCTTTGGCTCCTACCAGTAGTGAAGCTTAGTGCAAATTTCTGTGAGGAGCCTGCATGTGTGCACATATACTCTGTATGAACATGTTTGACCACAGATTGATGCAGGTAGGGGAATATTGCCTTTACAGACACCTGTATAACTACGGGCAGTGTGAACAGCCCACCCTCTCTTGAACTATTGCTGGTCAGGGAAGGACCCACTGGTCAGGTCTTTCTAGTAGCTGGCCCCATGATCCATGGTCTAGCTCTTGCACATTTTGTTTGCTTATCTGGCTCAAAGTTTGTTGGTGTCTCTTATGCACAGAGAATAATGAGTACACTAATGCAGAAAATAGCGAGCAACAGTTTCATAAGTAGGTATGACAGACAGTGGTGCTCAGGTACAGGGCTCAGTCAGGCAAACATATTGACCAGCAGCCTGCTTATACACAGCTGACCCATGAAATTCTTACCTGTTTTCTCATGCTTGTGTCCCCCCCCCCCAACCTTGACCCCTCCCTTTCCCTTTCCTCACCTTTAATCCTGCCCTTAAACATCTCACAACGTACGTGTTGCCACAATCCCCCAATAAGTTTTGCTGGCAAGCATTTACACATTAAGTTCTCCCTCAGACATCCCATAAATAAGTTTGCTCTTTTTTATGACACTCATTCTTGATAACCCACAATTACCCTGCTTCTTATCAGTCACCAAGTTTCTGGTTGAACTTCTTCAAGGTTGTGCTCAGAGGTTCCTTTCATGGCCCGTTGATCAGTGTGTGTTATGAGTTCTGGTCTTCGTTATTGTCTCTGTTATCTGCTGTTAGTTAGGATTTGTGTGTTTAATTTATTGCCTCTCCTGTTCCTTGCCTTGTCTTTCATGTTGAGTAGCTGTTAGGTAGATATTCTTGCAGTTCCTTGCCTGATTTGAACATCTGTTTGTGAGAGGTGCTGTCTTGCACCTGTTGGTGCAGAAGCCTGGCACAGCCAAGGCTGTGTCTCTCCAAGTCTTGGATGGCCTCAGTTAAGGCTGGAAGAGACTGTCAGGGCCACATAAAGACTCTGCTGTTTTTCGGCCTTCTTCTGGGACAGTTCTCTCTGACTGCTTTTCAGTGTAGTAATCTCAGTTCTCTGTTACAACAATTGTGACTCGCAGTCTTTTTATCTTTGCCTGGTGATTGACTGGTTGGGTGTTGTCATTGCATCGTAACAATATGCTGCTCATGATGGGAATATCTAAACACAAACTGTACATTTTAGAGTGAATACAGAATTTGCATGGTATTATGGAAATCTCCCCTCTTGCAAGAGCTTGGGTAGATGAGACATAACACAGTGGTGGTTCAGCCATCTGGGAAGTGAAGTAGTTGGTACAAGCACTTCTTCCTTTCTTCCCGTGTAATCCCAAGGTAACAGAGAAGGAGCAGCTACCATGGGGAAGCTGTAAGCAAGGGTTCTTGGGGTCTCTTATGTTGCCTTCTGGCTATTAAAAGCATTTCTGGCTTTCCTTTATGGTTAGGAAAGCTCACAGTAGAAACATTGGGAAAAAACCACAAAGTTTATTTAGTGTTTTGTTGTAAATGTCTTGTTGTGTCTTTCCAATTTGAGGTTTGGAGGTTTTTTTTTAGTATGTTTGAGTCCGTGATTTGTTTAGTTCTTGCTCATATTACCACAGGAACATATACCAGATCACAGAAAAATGAGATAATATTTTTTATTTACTTTAGTCTATAGCAAGGCATAAATTGTTATTTTTGTAGAACTCTGAGATTGTAGTCCTTGCTTTTTGTAAGACACATGTCTGTAGGTTTGATTATGAATAACCTAAAGGAAATCAAAATGGTAGAATCAAAGCAGTTGTATGCTTTGATTACTTAGTACCCTTCTTTCTGAAGAAAAAAAATAACTTTCTTTTTCTCAATTGAGGTGAATCAAGTCCAACTCGTCGAGAAGCAGTGAAAAGGAAGACTGCAGAATACCTTATGCGTGCTGAAAAAATTTCCAGTCTCTACCGTAAATCCTCTGAAGATGCATCTGCTTCTATGGTAGGCTTTAATTTCTTTTTTTTCTGAACCAGAATTTGGTATAATTAAATTGTCCCGTCTTTTAGCAAAGTATATTCAAGTTTAAAGTTTAAAAAGGGACTAGAATTTCTCTTTCAGGAGGCCTGAGGAGTATTTCGATGTTATATTTTGGTTAAATTGCTTTTTTTTCTGATTCTGGTTGGTTGCATTTCATAGCATTATGAAGAGTGCTCGATTTAATAGAGACCTGATTTTTGTATACTTTTCGTCTGCTCATAGTTGACGATGCAAACATTTTTAGTTATGCTGAAGAATTTGAAGGTAAAGCAAAAAACCCCCACACTAGAACATAACATTTCTTTTGACTTTCCTATGAGAATATTGCGTGGCCCTGTAGGGAGTGAGAAGGCCATTGGTTTCTTTAGCCTAGCACATAATAGTGTGTCAGAAGTGAGTCAAGCATGCGGTGGTGGGAATGAGATGAATATCCCACAAAATAAGCACTTAATTGGGCAAACATTCTTCCTGATCCCTTCAGATGTTTCTCTTGAATGTGCTTGAGTGATCAGCTGATCCTGATTTTTGATTGAGTTTCTGTAGTAATTCCCACTTTCTGAAACAGAAATACCCTTATCTGTACTTGTGCAAAAGACAAACAAAGCTTGTTCCAAGATACCCTCCATAAATTTCTACTTTGCCCTTCCCCAAATAGTTCCTTTGGTAATTATCTGTTCTTACTTCAGGCTTTTACTGCAGTCATGCTAAACTGCAACTGTGTGGTTGTCGATGGCTGCCCTATTGTAGTAAATATAAAAGTTACCAACTTCCTGTCTTTCTACACTTACATCAAGTGAGGACAAAAGGAGGAGAAGATTATTGGTTCTTACTTTGCACACATCTAAAAATGCTTTAAGGAGACTGCTGCTGCAAAAAAGTGGGAAGCCTTATAAAATCCAACTGCCTAATAAGTAAATTAAAAAGCAAAACCACTGATTTTGAAGGGTAGCTTTTTTAATGTTGAGAGCCCACAAGTACAGTTTTGAGGTTGTTCCAAATGGGATAAATTTTGTGAGATTTGGAGTCTTGCTGCTGCTATGAATTGTACTTTGAACAATTTAGTATTTTGGACTGATATGAACTCCTACTAGGTAGTCTTTCTTTGGGTCAAACACCCCTGAAAATAGGGAAGAATTTATATTGAATCAAAACCTTAGTGTGTTTGGAAACTGCAGAACAAGAAAAAAAAACATGAACAACCTATTTTTGCCTTTTTGTAAGTTTAAAAACTAACTGTGGTTGGGAAGGAGGAAGAAATAGGTTGCATTTTTTGTATGTGAACTCGAGAGGTAAAGTATTTCCTCTTTTATGCTGTATTGAATAAGGCACATGCCTTCTTTGCAGTTCCAAAAGAAAGCAGGTTTAATTGGGATAAGGCAAGGAAGAAAGAAAGGTAGCACAAATAGAAAACCATTCTCCTGTGTTGAAACTCAAAATTGTTAAGGCAAATCTGACTTTGCAGAAGTGAAATGTTGTACTTGGCTTATTCTCTACATGTATTTTAATATCTTTTATTTGCTGCTCTTCATAGTGCATACATTTGACTTTTATCTTGGGGCTTTGGAATGTGTTGGCATCAAGGGCAGATGGTGTTGATGGATTGTGATGGTTGTGGTGAGGAGGAGCTTGTCTCCGAGTTGAGAGCTGAAAGTTAATGGGGAGAAGGACTTCTCACAGGGTTCTTGTAAGGGCAGTGAACCACTTAGGAATTGGCGTGCTCTGTGCTTTGGCGTTTTGTCTTAAGGAAAGTGAGGGCTGTGACTCTTCCTACGCGTTGGTTGCTGAGCAGACCTGAATTCTTGCCCTTTAGTTACTGCTTATCCTTCTTACTACCCAAGATGGTTTATACTGGAGCTTGAGTGAATTATTCCACCCCATGCAGACAGTGATAAGTGCACTGAAATGACCTGTGTCTATATACAGAGTCATTCTTGGGAGGTACTAGTGGAAACATGCAGGTATTTTGTGCCCTTTTCCTAAAGAAATTAAGTCTGACGTGTACACCACCACCATGCCCATTAAACCATGTACTGAAGTGCTGTATCCATGCACTTCTTGAACATTTTCAGGGATGGTGACTCCACCGCTTCCATGGGCAGCCTATTCCAGTGTTTGACCACTCTTTCAGTAAAGAATTATCTCCTAATATCCAATCTAAACCTCCCCTGGTGCAACTTGAGGCCATTTAACTTGAGGTCATGACCTGATGTTACAAGGCAGAATTACTTTGTGACCCATGTCTGGTGTAGATAGCTTTGTGTTTCCTATTGTACCCTTACAAGGAGCAACCATGGTGATCAGTGTCAAAACTAGGCTTGCCTGGCCGCCTTAGACGTGATATTTTACTTTCTTGTTGTGTGGCGGGGTTTTAGTAGTGGAGGAGGAGCTACAGGGATGGCTCCTGTGAAAAGTTGCTAGAAGCTTCCCTGGCTCCAAGGCCAAGCCAATCAGTGATGGTGGGAGCACCTCTGTGATAACATATTTAAAAGGGTGCAGCACATAGAGGAGGAAGGCAGTGTGACCTTGGGCAGGGCTTGGCTGGCCCAGGCCCTGCTGCAGCCGCAGCCCAAGAGCTGGATGCTCCTCAGGAGCCAGTGAAAGGGACCTGCAGCAGAGAGAGATGTGAGAGAAACACACTTGGGTGGAGGTGAGATTCCCCTGCAGCGCACGGTGAGATGGCAGACTGTACCCCTGCAAGCCCATAGTGGTTAATGGTGGAGCAGAGATCCACCTGCAGGCCATGGAAGGCCCCACACTGGTGCAGATGGCTGCACCCAAAGAAGGCCATGACTCCATGGGAAGCCCGTGCTGGGGCAGTCTGTTCCTGAAGGACTGCGCCCTGCTGAAGGGACTCATGCTGGATCAGTTTGTGAAGAGCTGAAGCCCTTGGCATGGACAAATCAAATTGATTTTTCCCCAAGTCGAGTCTATTTTGCCCATGACCACAACTGGTGAGTGATATCTCCCTGTCCTTGTCTCGACCTATGAGCCTTTTGTTATGTTTTCTGCTCCCTATCCCACCGGGGGGGAAGAGTGAGCGAGTGACCGTGCGGTGTGTAGTTGTCAGCTAGGCTTAAACCATGACACTCATCCACCAGGCCAGAGAAATGCCCACGAAGGGAAGAGGTTAGCTCAGAAGTGCAGGTTCAATTATCATCCTGCACCCTTCATCCTCTCAGGCCTCCCAAAGACTCAGGCTGCCAGCCATGTGCTGAGCTGTGTGCAGCCGTCTCAAAAGACTATGTCTGCTAAATGCACCCCAAGCCACCCATTTGCCATCTGAACACCTCGTGAAGGTAAAGCGTGGTGGCTTTTCTCTGAGGGCCTGGGTTAGAAGGAGGCAAGCCATTCTTCTGTGGCTTGAAATGCCAGGCCCTTGCCTCTTCGAAGACCAGATTTCCCTAGAGGCAAAGGCCTGGAATTTCAGAGCAGAGAAAGAAAAATTTTCTTGGATGCCATGGAAACCAAACAAAGAACGATAGTAGTTTGTTACTTTTCTTGCCTTAACAAAAAGCTAACAGTGTAGCCCTCAAGGATAGCATCCTTAGCAACCATGCTGCTGCTGGCAAGTCTGAGTGGTGGAGAGAGGAGCACAAGAGGAGCTGTTTGGAGAACCCTTGGCGCTGTTAAAAAAAGGTTATGGGTAGAGGGCTTAAGGATGGATAGAAGATTTTGTAAGGCTGAAAAGAAACACTGGGAACTCACTTGACAGGGTCTTGTAAACACTGAGAAAAGCCTTGCTGTGACCCGTAGGAGTGGTAGGTGTGGAAGCAGCTTCTGGAGGTTGTAAACAGGCATGTTAGACCTTCTGGAAAAACAAATCTGCTGCATTTTCTGCTGCAAATGCTGTCCTTCTTTTCCTCCTCTGGCATAGCACTGCGGCCTTGAGGGCGTTCTCGGCGACAAGCACTCGAGAATGCAGTGTAATGGCAGCAGCAGGCCATTTTGCAGATTCTCAAGCTGTTTTTCCTCCTCTGCCCCTTTATAAGTAGCAGCTCTGGGGAGCCACCTCCAAGCCTGAGTGAGAGCTGCAGCAGCAGCCTTTGAATCACACTGGATTGACTGTCGGAAAGCTGAAGTCTTCCATAGCTGGTAGCTGCAAGGACCAGCACAGCTACATGGACATGCTGTGGCTCTGGGTCAGAACTGGTATTTTTATAATGCATTTTTTTTTTCACTCTTTGAAATTATTTCTGATTTGACTTTTGTCCAGTTTCTTTTATTCAGAATTTTTTCTTTTTGCACCATTATAAAAGCTGTTATCTTTTAAAATGTCAATTATTTTTGATTTTCAAAGCAATTCAGTAACAAGAGGTACATGCAAGCCTGATGCCCAAACAGGAAAAGCAGTTTTAATTCTTGGTGGTTTTCGTAAGATATCTTACTTCCTAAAATTCTCATTAGGTGTGCATTAAAATTACATGAAGTATAAAGAAAATACACTACTGTAGTTCTGTGAGACGTAAATTTAACATTAAATAAGAAATTTAGTCTCAAGGCTTCCAAGATCACATCCAAGGTATGTCCCAGTTTCAGGGAAGATACAGTCTCCAATTAGTGATCACTGAGGGCCTTCTGAAGCACACCATAGCTGTCTGATTCGCATGCATGCTGAGGTGCAACCTGGTTTTCTCCTGGTGGAGCATGAGGAAGGGGCCAGGGTGTTCTACTGGGCCAGGAGAGCTGGAGGCATTTTTGCACCTCAGGCCAGCAGGTATCTGCTTCAAAACAAGACATCTCCTTGTTGCATTTGAGGGTCTGGCTGTGCTGCAGGTGGGTAGTTACTGAAGTCATCAGACACAGGCCTCTGAATGGTGAGGGGAGGTGGTTCTTTGAGGTGCAGCTCTGTACTGATGTTCGTGAAAGTGCTCTTTTTATATCCTGAGGTTCTGTGGTGACTGCTCTCAAAGTTGGCAGCATCAGAAGTAAAATCGCTTCCCATCAAATGGAGTTTGTGCCACTGGGCTAGGGATAGTGCTCTTGCCTTAAATGAGGTTAACATGAGAGGCTCTTCCTCTTCCTTGGCTGGTGGTGTATTTCTGTTTCTCTGCCTGCTCTTGTAACTGCTGGCAGCGATGCCAAAGCTGAGGCAAGAGTTATCGTCGTATTTCATTGTGTAGCTTGCAAAACTAAAGCCTTCTGAAGGCCAGTGGTGGCCACAAGCTACTGGGTCTTTGCAGGAGCCATCAGCGCCATCAGCACCATCCTTTTTCACTTGAAATTAGCACATGCTAGCCAGAAGGTTGGGAAAGGTGGGAAAGGAACTGGTGATGCTGATCCCAAGTCAGATAACTCCAGCTGTGCAGCTCAGAGTGCAGTCTGGAAATAGTTTCAAAGCATATAGGGCCTAGCTGCAGGAGAGAAGATACCTGAGCAGCATGATGAGCGTTTGGACAAGCTGCTGAAGGCCGTCTGCAGGCAGAGGTAGTCCACCACTTTCTTTAGAATTTAGATGCTGTATTGGTAAAGACAAATTAAGCCTTTGACTGTTTGTTACCCTCCTTCCTGTATTTTTTTCTTTTGTTCATCTATTTTTGATGAGAGAGACGTTTTTTAGGTATTTTTCTTATCACTGGCTGGATGCTGAGCTTGGATTTTTACTCTATTCTGGGGAGCAGACGGTTTCATAGAGTGTTTAATTGCCGCAGTTCTGGGAATTGGATATTTAGAGTTGGCTTCTGGCATGCTTCACGACAAAATGTGGTGCCTCCCCATCACTGGGCTCCACTGTTAGACTTTGCAACAGTGAAATCAAAGTACTGTGAGGAGCAAAAAATAACCTGAAATTGATTAAAATGGAGAAACTGCTGGGAGATGTGGTTGTAAATTGTTTTAAGGTAGAAATGATTTTATGTAGAATGCATATATGAAAAACAGTGTCTATACACAGTATTACTGACTGTGCCACCATTGGTGGTATTTTAGAGAAGGAACCAAAAGTCTGTACTGTTTTATTTTGGACTCTTCAGACGTGATGGTTACAGAAATCTGATTCTGTAGTGTCATTAGACAACTATGAACTTCTGTAGAGATGTATGGACTTTATTCATGGTTGGAATGTTATGCATAAGAGAAAATTTTAAAAGCTTGATTATTGAGGAATGGTTATAAAATGTAATAGCATGCAGATAGAAGTGAAAATCTTTTATAGTAGTCTAGAGGATTTGGAAATGTTCTTTCATTAAATGTATTCCTTAAAATGCTTTTGAAATCTCGTAATGAATAAACTCTGTGATAGCACAACTCTGTGTTTCAAAGCAAATATTTTGTCATTGCAGAAAAAATTGCACACCCTCAAAATTCAACCCAACAAAAGAACTCCCTTGACCTTCCAACAGCTTGCTAGAATATGAAACCTAAATTGAGTCTGGGGAAAAAACTTCATCTAGAGGGGTTTTTTTTTTTCTTCTTCAGGCTAAAACCATTAGTGATTTGTAGAATATGGGCTATTTTCTCTTCATTGCTGTTGGTACTCTTACTTGATGGTGTTTACATGGCAAAACAGTTCTAAGATCCAGACAAATAAATGAAGATAAATAATAAACTCTTTTAAACATCGAACCGAGTAGGTGAATACAAAAGAAAAACATGCTTTTTCAACATGTGTTTATGACCCTTTCTGTTGAATTTTGCGGGCAGTGCTTAAGTACGCATTGATTTTTGGGAAATAATTTGGAAGGAGAGATGGTGGTTGACTGGCAACATGAAGGGGAACCAGTTTTGGGGAGGGCGTTGGGGAAGTACTCTAGCCTTTATGTTCCTATTATTATAATAGCACATATCTAGGATAGCACAGTAATGATGCCAGAGGGCATCAACACTAAGGGGGGAGCAAATGGACTACCTAATTCAGGATATTCAGTTTTTCTGGGAATTTTGAATCTTAAGGGAAAACTTCTTGATTTTTTTTGCTGATACTTAAACATTTAATCCACAGCATAATTGCTTACCAGCAGTTTTCCTTTGTGGCATACTTGTGAAATATTGCCTCAGGATGTTGACAAATTAGATAAACAGCTTTTGCCTCTTGAAACCCTAAAAATCAAGGAGTTTCACTTTCCTCTACCTTTGTGCAATAGAAGTGTACTTGGGGAGGCCAGGTTATGCTTAAAAGGAGTTTAGCATTCAACAGCTCTGCAAATGAAGTTGCCATATTTGTGAGGAGGAGATCCAGGTCTGTGGTTGTAGTAGAAGCTGCATGTTGAATTTTTGGAGAAGGATCTAATAAATTCTCTCAGTCGACAACTAGAAACTTCTGAAAATGTTTGTTAATGTGCCAGAGGTATATGTGATGCTTAAGAGGTTGATCTTTGTCCCAGAAGACTTCCAGTTGAAACATTTCCTCCTCTGACATGCAAGCTTTGAGTTTGCCCTGAGAAACTGCAGAACACAGCACAGACAGCTCTCTGTGTATTAACCACTTGAACAGTTAGCACTCTTGCTATGGTGTTAATTTCTAGATTAATGATACGCAGCTAGCTACCGTTTTCTAAGGCAGTCTTAGGAATCATTTCTGTTGTGCACCTTGTTATTACAATGATTTTGTGAAGCTCAGCAGAGTGCAAGAATATTCATTTATAATTCTGTATTTTATGTTCTTTAGACTTAAAAAGCCTCTAATTTGCTTTCACCTCCTCGGTGATCTCTGAATTATTTTGCATCCAGAATACCTGTAAAGCTTTGATTAATTATTGCGATGGGCGAAGAATTTGAGCAATTGATTGCTAGGTTCCATTAAACATAGGAAATATAAAAATTAATTATTTTTTCTTTTTAAAATTTTTGTTTTCAATGTTGTCTCAATTTTTATTTACTTGCAAGTTGTTTTTTTTTCCCCCCACTAAGGACAAACAGAGAACTTCTCCTTTCATCTTCACTCTCTCTGATTTATGATAAATTTAGTTTCCTTTGGCCTGGCATTTGCTTCAGCAGGCAGTCTTCCTTCAAGTACCACCCTGATTGATGTCTAATCTTTGATATCTTCCATTAGCCTCCAGGATCACTAAGTTCAAGGCCCTCTTGGAACCTAAGGAGCCCTGCCGAGGAACTGAAGGCCTTCAGAGTCCTTGGGGTGATTGACAAGGTAATTCTTCAGTGTCTCTTCAAGAGTTCAGTCATAAATTGACTGCATGCTGACATTTTGTCTTTGAAGCTGTGGATCTTAAGGATATGAAACAAAAGGGGAAAATGACTCAAATGCATCTGCACTTTAAAATAACAAAAGTAGAAGAAAAAAAGGCTTTTATCTAAGCAATTCATGTAAGGTCATGCAAAATATATTTGAGCTAAAGGATAAGGTACATGTTTGGTGGCATTCAATAGGATGAGGCCTGTTTTTCAAAAATGAAGTAGTGGTTACAGTGCTGGGGTAAGGACAAGTTGATGTATTTTCAGTTGAATAAACTGGTGGGTACTTGAAATACAGAAGGGTAGAAATTCCTACATTTGAACCGTCACTTGAAATGGGGGCTGGAGCAGGGGGCGCCAGCTGTTCTTCCCTGAGGATTTGGAATTGAAATCCTCAGCCAAGAAAGAGATTCAGCAATGAAACCAAAATTATTTTTGACTCATGCAAATAATGTCTTCCAAAATCCCGGGGTAATACCCCACTGAAAACAGTAAAGGACCGTACACATTTTGTGGAAACCTAGTTAAGGGACCAGAAGAATTGCTGCATTGTTTTGACAATGCTGATCAGTTATCATCTCACCAAATACTTTTAAGATGATGTGTTTTTCAGCAATGTGGCAGTGGCTACTGCAGACTGTAAAGGCTCATTTTGTTTTTGCCATGCCAGTTCCCTTGTGGCTTTTGATAGTTCCTTACATAGGACCTGGTTTGTTCGTGATGTAATGATGAGTGGTCAATTTACGCTTTTGTAACATGCATCTGAAAACCTGCAGCTGGTCTCTTAAGGTCTGTATTTCCCAATTTCTTTTTCTTGTTGGACTGAACCTAGATACGAGGTCTGATTTTTGTTGTAATTATGTGCATAAGTTGACAACTTCTCCTCAGAGGGCTATATACATTAGGTATTATGGTTGTTCTCATAGCACAGAAAGATTTCTCACCTCAGACTTCATATTCATTGTATCTTCTTTCCTCGATCATAAGTACAGAATTCAGCCTGTCTTTCTCTGTGTATATATAGGCAGCCTGCTATAGGCAGGGCTTTGGATTCTTTGAGA